CTGAAGGAGCAGAGCTCTTTCAGTTGGGACTGGGGCCCCTCGTTCCCAACGATGGGACTGTGGAAGGGAGTTCGACTGGAGGCGTTTGATGTCCTGCAGCTCCTCCAGGTTTCCTCTGTTCCTCTACACAGTACGTCTCATCTACTCTTCATCACCAAGCTTGTGTTAAACACTGAGGAATACTGTGTTAATATACACCGGGAGGATTTGAGGCAAAAGCAAAATATAAAACAGGAAACAGAGAAACAGCAGCGGCTCTGCTCGGATAGAAAGTGATGAAAACTCTTTTATATTCTATTATAGACTTCTGTTATTTAGCGCACCCTCATTGATGTAGATGGGGTGGACAGAATAATAGAAACATCTGTCGGCATGATGCGATTTAATTCAACAGCACCACAAACTGCAGCTGATAAAATGTCCATAAAATCGAATCAAGACAGTTTAATTACAACCTTCATATTTATTGTAGGACTGTTGTTTTACACTGAGTGTAGATTGGAATTTTATTTTGAAAAGTCACAGTCAGAATAAATGTAAAGTTATTTTCCTGTTCTTCCAGTTCTACTGTGTCTCCCCCTGTGTGGAACAATCAAATGGCTCCATTACAGTCCATATCATCCGTCTGTCTGTCCAGGTCTCAGCCTCTCTCAGTGGAGAGTCCAGGTTGAGCTTCTCGTCGATGCTGTCCAGACAACTAACGGGCAAATCGTTCTCTCCATACCTGAGCTGGACTCTGAGCAGATCCTCCAGACACAGTTCCTCCCAGGAAAGACCAAGAACAGCTTCACCTTAAACATCAACACGGTACTCTAAACACTCCGTACCCTCGTATGAGTGTGCTGTGACAGCAGTGACTCCTCAGTTATTACGTTGAGTAGTAGAACGTCAGTTTCTAAACACTTAAAAACATCTTCTTCTTCTTCCTCCAGAGCAGCCAGGTGAAGCTGTGGTGGCCCAACGGACACGGAGACCAACCCTCTTACCATCTCACTGTCAGAGGCTTTCAGGGGCGGGTCTTGATCCTGAACACAGAGTCTAAGGTCAGAGTTCACTTCCAGTCTCCTCCTGTGGTATTTATGCCTTCAGCTGCAGAGTGTTCTGTGAAATAAGAGCATCAGTAGAATCAAAGGCCCAACATGTCTCCACCAATGATATTCAGTTCAATATGATATAAAACAGAGAGATATTCAGTTCAAT